TTTTTTATTCCCGTTGTCCTCACGCTTGAGAGGAGGCTGTGCTGTGGCCACTTGAGCTCCTTCGTCGCTTTCACCTCGGTTCGATCGGGTTCTTTCGAGGTTTGGAGGGAGGTACGGAAAAAATTATTTATGCATGAATGCGACGATTGTTGAAAAAGAAGGACGGGAAATCGATATAATTTTAGCAATTGCATGAATTTTGCAAAATACGAGATTTGCGGTTTCGGTCAACCAGGAGACAAAGCGGAAGGACTTACAGTTTTTGCGGCGAGAAAAGGCGGAAGAGGGAAGGGTTGGCACTAAAGCGGCTGGGCCGCTCGTCAAAAGCCATATATACCTGAGGCGTGGAGAGGCGCGCTGCGCAGCGTCGCCTCCGCCAGCACCTCTAATGGGTGCTTGTTTACCGAAAAACATTCCGTGGGATCGGGTGCCGGACTAGTTTCTCCGACGGAAGTCGAATGTCGGGATTGCGGATGCCGAAATGGGAATGAAGGGCTCATCGACGTTGGGGGGCGGGGGGCGGGGGGGCGGGAAGGGGGAGGGGGGCGGAGGGGTTTGATGGATTGCGTCGTTTCTCGGTACTGATTTTATGTCGACCGGGACAGATAACCATTCCGGTCCATTTAATGGCATTAGCGTCCATTCTCCAAGATTAGTCTTAGGGCGGAGATAAAGGTGGAACTGGTTCTCTTTAGTGCTGGGGAACTGGTTCGCTTATCGAGCTCCGGAGGACACGTACTACTTTTTCTGCTTGCAAACACTTTTTTTTTTTTGCATCCACTTTCGACATTCAAACGACGGCATTCGCGATCGCGAGACCGTGTCCGATGAGCATCATTTGATTGAAATCAAGCCTTTTCATGCTGCCCCAAACGCTTCCGTTCTCATCCTGACTTCCTCCCCCTTTTTTTTTTTTAACCTCATTTCGTGGCTTTTCATTCCGGATCGACGCAGTACTCCGTCGATGCCTGCCAGTCTCGGCGCTTTAACATCGCTTTTCCATTCCGCCAAATTACTTTCTTCCTTCTAATCGAGAATCGCTAAATGAAATCAAATAAAGGAAGAGCCACCCGTTAATGGAGTCGATTGCGTCGATTCCGACCACGTGCAGCCGAGGAAACCGAGCGGACACGTGGCGACATCTGTGGAATCCACCGTGTGATACAGTCTCAGAATGCGATGATAGGTGTCTCGCCCACACTTCGACGAGGACGGCGACATGATGGAAAATTTCCAATCTCAAAGACGGATCCGAAAGTCGTCGAACATTCAAATTTGAAGGCTAGAGTGAGAAATTTTCTCGCAGTGAAACTGCGGTTGGACTCTTCTTGGTTTCAGTTAAAGGGAAGCCATACTCCTGAGATTTTCACCATTTTTCACGAAGAAAAAATGCAAGTCGTGTTTACGAGAAACGGCCTAAACGAGACCCAATAGGGAAGGGTGGGGCCCCATGGGTCACTCTTTTGCGAGCTTACGACTCGGGCCTTTTTTTTTTTCCTTCGAAGCAATGGAAGGCGCGGAAGACTCGCATCACCTGCGCAATCTTGTTTCAAAGTCTTGAAGCAAGTTTCGAGCGACGAAGTCGCATTTTAAAATGGGGCACGATGGATCGTCATCGCTAAAATAAAGTTCAGTTGGCCGAAAGTCATCACGCGAGTGTGTTCGTATCGCAGAAGTGCTCGGACACTGATGCACTTCACCGCATTTATCTGGAGAAAGGGTTTTAATTTAACCTTTAATTGGAAAAAGAGATTCACGCGCGAGAATATTGCGTCTGTCGGCGTTGAACCCTTTAAAGCCTTGCGCTTGTAATTGCGCATTCTGGTCGGAAAAGACTGCGAAGGAAATCGAGATCGGCATCGACAAACCTCGGTAAAAAAAAAATAATAATAATAAAAAAAAAACATTATGAACCATTGAGCCCAAAATGGCGTGAGCCATCGTGCCGACACAACCCATTAAAACGAAATAGCAAGCAAAGTTTGTCACTCACCCGCTAATCCCAGGATGAACCATCAACCGTCGCATCCTCTCCACTCCTCATTTCGACACCCGTCACGTCCGGCGGCCGACGGAGAACTGCGGGGAAAGCCATCCAGAAGCTGAGATTCGTATGCAGGGTGGGGCCGGTCGTCGGATGTCGTTTTCGTGCCTCTGCCCGCCGACATCGTGCCGTTTTCCTCCCGAGTAAGATTAGGCAAATTATAATCTCATGGCGAATCTCGTATCACTTTTCACACTAGCTCGTCACTACACCGTGGTAGCGTGCGTGCCCGTATGCGACCGGGCGAGCCGGACGCACTACCATTCGGCCATGGATCTAAATGGCTCTATCCCGCTCCTTCGAGCAGGGGCAAGTTTTCATCAGCCTCGGGCTATTAGACCTCTTCAGACCTTTACTCTACTTTTTTTTCACCCAGTCGAAATGGGAAGGAGTACTACAGCGATCTCGTCCTTTTGCAGGGAAACGTCAGAACAAGCGTCTCGTACCGACGTTTCCCCTCGCCCTCGTGTTGAGCACCGTCTGGTAATCCACGTTCGTTCACCGTCTATCCCACCATTTAGAAGTAGGTTTCGAAGGTAGACCCGCGTAGCGTGTCACGGACGAGACACACGCAGTGGGCTCTCCTGCATCCGCCCCCCTTCCTCCCCACCACCACCATCTTCCACTTTCTCCACCCTCATCCACCTCCTTTTTTTTAAATCTCCATCCACCTTCTCCACCCCTGTCTGTTCCCTGTTGCGTGCGTGAACTGGTCATGTTCCCGATCGTATAAAGCAGTCGGGCAAGAGAGAATGCTAGGGTTGCCACCCGTTCATAATTACCTGTCGTATGGACAGTACATATTTCAGATGCAATGTCCATGCTGCAAACTTGTCTTAATATGGACACTGCTTCATCCATACGTGAAACTAGAGCTAATAAAGTTTAATAGCAGCTAAAACCACTCTTTTCTGCGAGTGAGAGTAATTGGCTACACTCTAATAGCATCGATTGGTACTTTGGCTGAAGGTAGGTATTTAAAGTGTGTTTGAGAAAGTCACATACGCAAGTATACTTCAAATATTTGTCCATATTTCCATATTTTTTTTAATTTCAAAGGTGGTAACCCTAGAGAATGCGGAAGGGACCAAACCGAGCAGGATGCCACCTCTAACCGTGAAGTACTTCCCGTGATTTGTTGGAAAGATGGCGAAATCGCCGAGAACAGAATCGGAATAGAATCGTTCGAGGATCGACGAACATCGCGTGTGCGAATAAGGCGTATGGAACCAAAGACAGACCCGATATCCTTCACAGTGCTGATGTCGTTAAGGGGAGCAAGAAATGCCGCTGACCGGTCTGAAGTGGACTTGGCTTCACCGAGCTGGAAGTGAAACTATCGATACGGCCCGGAGATATCCGACATCTGCCAGGAACAGGGACGCAATAAAACTGTATCGCAGACGAGGCAGATGACACCCCACGACACCCCAAGAACAAATTTTCCCAGAATAATAATTTTTCAAATTTTCGACATATTTTCGGTCGCCTCGTACGAGTGGGACCTCGATATCGGCTGCGCTTCGATATCGGTCGCGTCTCGCCATCCTGTCGATATAGGGGTTAAAAGCGGCTCCATTTTTAGATAATACCTAATCCTCGCTTATCTCGTCGTATCTTCCAGACGCTTTATTAACGCGCGGCGAGCGGAAAGGTTCGCATTCAGATAAGGGAATTTCAACCGACTTCCACGTGTCTCGCCTGTCTTTTATATTATCCTGTAATAATTATAACTACACTCTCTTTTATAATTATGAAGCACTTGAGGGAAGCAATATTTCATCCCAAATGTGTTGAGTTCGGCACCATCTTGGATTTAACAACACTGCACGATTTACGGGGACTCACGAACTTTCTGCCGGAGAAAATACCTTTCACGATTCTTTCTGAGGAAACTTTCGTTTTCCAAAGGATATATTCGTCTCTCCAGATGACGAAACGGATTTCGCAAGAAACGTTTAAAATGCGGCTCCAGCTGCGTCCTGATTTTTTCCTCGGGGGTGGAAATCACGCATTCATGGCATTCTCGGGTCTGAGGTTCCCCATCGTCTCGCATTTTCCTCTCGGGCCGAGATTCCTCTCCTTGGAGTCGAGTGATGAGGATTCCCCAGGGATGATGAGGATTAGGACCGAATCAGTTTATTTACATGGAAATTCCATTTACATCATAAATCGATGACTATCCGAACTTTCTTCTGGCGATTCCTTTCATTTGAATTTACATTTTATCCTCGATTCTTCTGAATTTGGTCTGTTTTAGTAGTTACATTATGCTGTATGCAAAACAGACATTTAAAACTCCGAAAGCAAATGCGCTTCCGAAATCTTAGCATGAATGAATAGTAAACTCTTTGAAAACTTCATGACAGCCTTATGGGAAAATATGAAACACTGTCTGTTACGTAATCGTCGAACTGCAGCTCATGCTTGGTGCCTCGAAGCCATTCCGTGCACAAAACACGGTCGGTAATGTTTATTTTTGCATGAAAACTAGTATGTGGGTGGATTCTCTGCGGTGGCTACTTTTTCTTCATTAGTGGGTGTTATTTAGTGAGGGATTCCCGGGAGATGCAATGTCTAAAGCGGGTGGGAGTTCCACGAGAGTTATATTTTTGGTGCTGCAGTGACTTTCGATCTGGTGTTTCGGATAGCGCCTCTCGAAGCAGTTTTGACTCCGAGAATTTTTGTGGTTGCGTTTCCGTGTGCCGTAGACGTTTTTGAAGCGGTTGACGAAATGGGTGCGATTGTAGGATCTGCAGGGATTTGAGAGGTGGTTGACGAAGCAGGCGCGACTGTCTTTCTCGTCGTTCCTGATGCGATCGGGTCGAGAGTTGTAACTGTGTTTTCCGTGGACGTTTCCAACGCGGTCGACTCGATGGTTGGGGGGTCTTCCGGGGTTGTCGTCGTGGATTCGTGCAAGAGAGTTGATTCTTCTTTTCTCGGTTCGGTGCTGGTCTCAGCGGTCGTTGAGCTCGCGGTTCTTGATTTCTCTGGGTATGTCGTTTTCTTGGCAGTCGAAGAACGGCTCGTCGAGGCCATGCCTGTTGTTGACTGCTTCGTCGTCGATTCGCATTCCAAGAGGCTCTGCCCATGAACTGTTGATTGTACTGAAGATTTGGAACAATCGGGAGCTGTTGACCGGCCTTTTGCTGTGTCTTCTGTCGTGCCTGTCCCTGTGGATGTGGAATGTCGCAAAGTGCTCGACTCTTCACGCGTTTGCGAGCTCTCGGCTGTAGTCGTCGTCTGCTCACCGCCAGTCGCCTCGGCCTCCTCATTGGTTGAAAAAAGTTTAAGCGTGGATGATGCCGTTGGAGTCGTCAGCCCCGGAGATGTCGTCGGTCTCATGGATGTCGTCGGTCTCATGGATGTCGTCGGTCTCATGGATGTCGTCGCAGATGTTGCTTCTGCTTTAATTTCTCCCAACGACGTTCTATAGGTGTAGGTGTCGTCTGGCTCCGGACTCGAGACTACTGTGGTCGAAATCCCATCCGATTCGGAGTCGAGCGTCACACACCCGGAAACGGATTCTTCTGCTGCAGTCGACGGCGGCTCCACAGTTGTCAGCTCAGTCGCCGAAGATGTGCAATCCATCGCAACTGCATCCTGCGATCGATAGCAGATCCAGACTTGCAGGAAAGTGCAGAAAAATTTGCAGAAATGTTTGAACTCACATTCATCAGTATGTGCACCCACACGTTCAGTGACTTCGGCTGCTGCAACAGGTCAACCGCAATCGAACTTTACAACGTGAAAGCATAATTGACATTTTTTTCCTACAACTTACCCCTTTCTTTCCTCGCGAGGGTTTCCATTTCTCGTGTCTCTAAAAGCATAACAGTATCAGGACATTCATGAGGTCTATTAACGGACAGTCGACGCGGTTGAAAATGTGATAAAAATCGAGAATCGAAACCGAAAAAAAAATCGAACCTCGGGAGACTCGGGGCATTTGAACGGGCGTTCGCTTCCTCTGATCACCTGGAATCAACAGCATAAAATCAACATTTCCTGTTTTGTCGGTGATTGTTTTTTTTTTCGGTCCGTCTTACCTCTATGATCCGAATGGTATTCTGAAAAACGGAAACGACAGTGTTACAACTATAAAAGTTATTTTACTCTCATCGCATGAATGAATGAAACCTCACCGCCGTTCTGCTACCTCGACTCTGCAAGGAGAACCAGGCTTCAATCATCGCCACAACGGTCCCAATAAACTTAATACCAATCATGCTAATTATGCTAAATTATAAATGCCGAGAATACCTTGGAGAACAGTCTCTCGTGCATCTCTGCCGACTTTCGTTCCACCTATGAAGAATCAACTCGCATTATCCGATGTCCTGAGGGTCTCTCTCACTTCATATAATAATACCAAAGTATATTTCACCTGATGTACAGGTACTTTGGGATGTAAATCGAGTTGCTTCTGTCTTCGGGAAGTTTTCGTCTCCACGAAGAAAAAAAGATCAGAAATCCAACATTAATTCAAAGGTTTCCACTTAGTTGATGGCTTTGTTCGTTTGATTTAATTCATTAGTCAGTAATTAATTAGTTTAATTAATGGATAATAAACGTACCACACGGTTACCTTCTCCGTTGGCCTCTTTGCTCCTGAAATCCTTTTCCCTCTGAAGAAAATAGAAACGCCTTTTTGATTCGACCGATTCCTTGAAGAAACAGGAGTTTTTTTTAATTTGAATCTGACCGTGAGATGATTCATGATTGAAGTCAGCAACCGGGGAAGCCCAATTCCTGATTTCTCCTTGAAAAAAAAAAGAGATAATCATCATGAATAAAATACGAAATCCAAATCGGTGAGATATAAATTGGGATTTTGCATGTTAGACGCAGGAAATCCTACTGAGGTTCTGCGTGGTTGAATATGCCGAGGTCTCAAAGCGGCTCCGGGTCCGCCACGCTGGACAGAAAAGAAAAATCATTTCATTTATGCCATATTTATAGTATTAGAAAAATCATAACCGTGAGAATTTTACTGGATGACTCAGAGGGGGGGGGGGGAATAATGATCTATTGCATGAAAACCGACAAGGGCTCTATTTCATGGGGAAGCGTTATCTCTTCTGCCATTCGGCACGAATCAGACGGAGAAGTATGGAAACGCACGGCTGTCCAACCGCCTTCGAGTGGGTGAAACCTGAGTCTCTCCAGCCACCTTCGGGTGGGTGCAACCGGAGAGGGTGGGTGCAACCTTCTCCGTGCATTTCCAACGATGCACGGTCTGAGAAGTGCAGAAATGGCGTGTGCTTCGTCGTTTGAACGGAAAAGCGATAAAATATATTTATTTTTGAAAGACTGGCATAAAGGTTTACCAACTTAGAATCCTCTTTTCTTTCATTTGGACGTTTAATGTGGTACTTTTTTCAGAACCTCTCTTTCCGCTCAGAACCAGATTGCACCCTATTTAGGGTTTTTAATCAGAAGGACGACTAACAACCAAAATTTGTGGCAATTTTTTTCGAATGAAACTCGTACCGCCTGTGACGAGTGTGCGTACATTAACGGTTTTTGTTTAAATTATTACTATTATTAATATTACATATACATATATTTTTATTTTTTAAATTTCATTTCCAGTAGCAAAGGCATGAACAGAGGCCAGGAGCCTCGCTCTTCACTCTTATCCCTCGAAGAAAACCGCTGGGTAAATAATTTCCCATCATGGCCTTTCGACAGAGGAAAGGTGGCCTCCGGTTCCCGCCGGTCTGCAAACATCGCGCGCAAAATTAAATAATGAATTAATCAAGTACTCACCACGTTGAGAATGGCGGGAGGCCTCCCAGCTCGCCGTTCATCGTTGATCTGCGGGGGAGAAATCGGTCGGAATTAGACGATTGGATCGTCTCAATCGCGATCGATCAATTTACCATTTTCCTGGGGATCCAGTGGGGTTTCCCGCTCCAACCTTCGACGCCCTGAGAAAACAGACTCGAGATGAAGCCAACTTGCAATCTGCATCTGATACAATAATATGCTCTGGCTCACCCTCGCTTCAATTTGTCCGCGTCGATCGGTGCGATCGGCGCGATCGGCATTCACGAGCTGCGAAGAGAATCGTGTGAACGTTATGTAGGATATTTTATAAGAAAACTGCTCGGCGACAGGATTTTTCAGCCAGAACTGCATATCACGGTTGAAATTATGAACTTACGCGACAAGCTGTAATTTCAGTTAATTTTCGCGATTCGAAATTTGCAGTTAATACAATATTTTACATTGATACTGCAAGCCATTATTCTTCCGGAGTTCACGGATTTGATTCATTTAGGTATGAAAGACAATGCCATTCGTCTCCTTCCCCCTTGAAATCCTTCAGAAAGGAAAGGTCGGTCTCGAGTTCGAAGCTTTCTGGTTCTTTTTAAGGAGGGAAAAAGGCCACAGGGAATTTCGCTTCAAATATATATAAAAATCCAGATGGTACCGCGCTCCGCCTGGCCATGTCATCTCGAAAAATCACCTCCCTCGGCATCTAGAAGGAAAGAAGACAAGAAGCAAGGAATTCCAGGTCGATCGAACTTTAAAGCGATGGAAAAGAACGTTTCGAACCCCCGGAAAGGACTCCCCTCGCCCTGATACAAAAAAAAAACACAAAATAAAATGCAAAATGAATTCATATACAGAAGAGGCATGCACACCGAGCGGGCCCAGTGGAACTCACAGACGGAGCCAGTAAAGATGCAAACGAAGACGACGAAGCGGCAAATCCCCATCGACGACAGTGCCATCCCCATGGACAACGATGCTGTCCCCATCGACAACAGTGCCATCCCTGTGGACGACCCGCAGGCGTCTGAACCCTCGACGATGGGCATGCCGAGCGCTGACGGAGGAAATGAGAGAAAGAGAGACAGGTAAACGGATAGGGCGAGCGAAGAGTAACGCGATCTCCGCCGGTTCGTGTTTCTCAGCATTCACGGCCGACTCACTCAAGGCTTCCGTAGCTTCATCACTGTCAAGTCTTAGATAGGGCCGGTCTGTGCACAGAAAATATCTGCAGCTACGTACCGGGTGGCGCAAAAAAAAAAGCGTCCTGTTTGAGGCTTTATAAACCCTACTGCAGAAATGCTGGAATTTGTTTCATATCACACAGAAAACACTCTAGCATTTGTTTCATGAAAGTTTTTAAGCCTCTAGGTTGATTGGACGAAGAACAACATTTGTTGAAACTTAGATAAGAAAATTCCGATTTTCCGCGTAGGGTAAAAGACCCAGTGATGGACCAGTCCCCAGTGATGGGCCACAGCACATAAAAATTCCAATAGCTTTGCTTCCATGGCACACCTACCCTTGTTGTGACATATGCTAGCAGCATTCAAGCACATACACACTTCAGAGGTGGTCATGGAACAAATGCCTAGTTTTTGTAATTTTCCTGCGACGTGGCCCATCACTGAGTACTCGCCCTTAACAGGCCCATCACTGGGTCTTTTACCGTATCGGGAGCCAGCGGTTTCGACAGTGCTCAACAGACGACTCCCACTTGCCGTCAACAAGCCTGCTTCTTTGGCTTCATTCTTATTGCAATGTCCTCGACTGTGCCATGTCATCGATTATCTTTCAAAGGAAAAGTCACTAAACTCTCACCATTCTCTTTCCTCTCCAGTCCTTATTCTTCAAACATAACATGAAATTCAAGTCTTTACCTCTCACCTAACCCTTACGAAAATGCCTTATAGGATTCCTATATATTCATAAAGGAATATATAGGAATCCTATAGGTTCCTATAGGGCCTATAGGGAACCCTATGGGGCCTATAGGGCCTATAGGGAACCCTATGGGGCCTATAGGGTTCCCAATAGGACCCCAAGGGGTTCCGTATAGGACCCGTAGGGGCCCCATAGGGTTCTGTTTGGGACCTGTATGGTTCCCTATAGAACCAATAGGGTTCCCTATGGGGCCTATACGGAACCCTATAGGCCTATAGGGTTCCGTTTGAAGTTCTCCTCTAGGCCACTAGATGGAGGTAGGGGGTTCTCGCATTTCTCAAAGTACATAAAAGTGCCCTCCCCTTACCCATGGAATCATCTCTCACAAGAGAGTTTTGTACATCCCCAAATGTCTTGCCTTGCCTCATTGTAGCAATCAATAAGCTTAGACACTTCCTATTTGTCTTCCCTATCTTCTAGATAGAATCATGGAGTCCAGGCCAGAAATATGCCCATGTTCCCTTTGAAAACCACGTAAGAGAATAAGTGGATTAGTTTTGGTAGCAGCTCGCAATGAGTCCACTGCCTTCCCATGCCCCAGCTGTCGGAGGTAGAACTCCTTGCAGCTAGAACTGCCTTACTTCGCTCGCAAGCGAGCGAAGTTGAAGCGAAGCTTGCGAGTGACTCGCTCGGGCTCTTCCTACCCTCTCTTCGTCTTTTGGTTGCCTGTTCCTCGTCTAAACACCGCTCACTCTTTTCTAGTCATTGTCTAGCTGCTCCTTTTCTCTCTACTGTTCATAACTTTCATACTGTCTCCTCTGCTCACCCCTTGACTCGTTCTCTT